GGGAATGAAGGGGCCTCCCTGGCCGCTGCCCCTGGTTCACACTCCTGGTCCTTGGAAGGCCCGTTCTAGGAACCAGGACCCCGCGGGCACAGCCTGGACCCAGCTCAGGCTGCAGACGCTGAGATGCTGGTTCCTGGAAAGCAGGGCCCGCAGCCCACAGGGGACCATGTGGGAATGGCTCACCGCTGGCACGAAACCAGGAGCCTGCAGCCCGGGAGGCATCTGGGGTCCTGGCTGGGACACAGCTAGATGGTCTGCAGGGGGACGGGGAGCACAGCAGGGGAGCACTATGATCAGAGGGGCAGCAGGACCCCCGAGAAGCGGCCAGCCTTCCTGAGTGCCCCTTGGTAGCAGGAGACCAGGGCTGGGACGGGGAGGAAGCTGGGGTCCCGAGACGGTCTTGGTGATTCCAGGCTGTTCCTAGGAAGTCCTGCAGCCCAGCTCCTGGCCCCTCGCCTCTGGCCGGAGCCCCCACTGAACAAAGGCCAGGGGACCGCCAGCAGGGGCACTGGAGGAGAGCTTGGCAGGGGGCAGGGGCGAGAGGATGGGCCGGTGTTCTCAGGACAGGACCCGAGGGAGGCCCCGGGTTGGAGCCCACATCTCCCTTTGACCTGAGTGTCCAGGTGGGGTGAGGAGGGGGCAGGGGGCAGCAGGACGCAGGGCGGACGGTCTTGGCCACCTTCCTGGAGCCAGGCTTTCACCCTGCCAGCAGCTGACCGGTCCCAGCAAGCATGCCCTGCCCGGATCTGCCCTTCTGTGTTCCTTTCTCCAGCACCAGGCCCCTCTCGGGTCTGCTCTAATTGGTTTGTGTCTGGCTGTGGCAGAGAACAAATTGATTCCCCTCCAGCTGTTTCTGCAGCGTCTGTCCTCGCACACCCCCGGGCCACCTGCCGTGCCAAGCACAGCTTCTCCTCTGCGGCACGAACGCTGGGCAAGTGTTCTGGGGACGTGCGGAGGCGGCTGGTCCAGTCTCCCTGCCCCAGCCCGAGGTCCCAGAGCTGGGACACGGACGCACACACTCACAGGCATTCACACAGGCACGCACACACACACACCCCCATGTCTGTGTGCATAGCACGTACACGCACGCATACACACACACACATGTCCGTGTGCATAGCACGTACACGCACACACACACACACACACACACCCATGTCCGTGGGCATAGCATGTACACGCACGCATACACACACACACACCCATGTCTGTGTGCATAGCACGTACACGCACGCATACACACACACACACATGTCCGTGTGCATAGCACGTACATGCACACACACACACACCCATGTCCGTGGGCATAGCATGTACACGCACGCATACACACACACACACACCCCTCTGTCTGACCCCCTGGAGGCAGCGGTTTCAGGTAAAAAACCTCAGCTTGGTGCAACATGTGGGGGTCTTTATCCCTCAGAGGTTCTTCCTGCAGCTGTCAAAGCCAACTTTCTAACTGAAAACCTGTCATCCCCCAAGGTTTAAATGTTTCCATGGACTCCTTTTGCCTTCATGATAAAAATCCAAGCTCTCGTCTCTCACTGCACAGCACTTTGAGGTCAGAGCTTCCACCATGCCTGAGTCTTTACAAATTTGCCATACGTATGCATTCTGGCCCCTGGGCCTTTGCACGTGCTGTGCCGTCAGCCAAGTGGGCCCACCCACGCCTCTCCCGCCCTGTATCCTCAACCTCCTGACGGTACTTCCATGTGCCTCTGGACTCACCTCTCTGACACAGCTCCTCTAAGGGAGGGACTTTGCCCCCCTGGGTCACTCACAGCCCCCTCTGACTCCCTGGTCAATTCCAGCCCCCTGTGCTTGTCCGTGGTTGTGACACCAGCTCATTCTGAGTGGACACATCCTCAGGCCTGGCCTGACGTCTCCTCTCTTCAGGTACGTGCACTGCACGGCTCTGTAACCACCACCTATTTGCATCACCAGCCACGGAGCTGGAGCTAGAATAAGGGCTCGGTATTTCATGAGGTCATGAGCGAATGGGTGGATGGATGGGTGAGTAACCAGGAAAAACCCAGGGCCCCAGGTGTCTGGGACACAGCACCAGATCACACTCGCAGCAGCAGCAGTCCAGCCACCAAGAATTTAAAAGGGGACTCCCCTGCTGGCCCAGTGCCTAAGAATGTGCCTTGTTGTGCAGGGGACGTGGGTTCGATCCCCGGTCAGGGAATGAACACCCCACAGGCTTTGGAGCAACTAAGCCCACGTGCTGCAAGTACTGAAACCTACACATCACAAAGAGCTCGAATGGCACATGGAAAGATTCCACATTACACAGCAGAAATCCCAGGGCCGCAGCTAAGACCTGATGCAGTGAAATAAATAAACAAAAAATTTAAAATATGTAAAAATACATTTTAAAAGTTGAACTAAAATTCTAAAAATAAATAAAAAATGAAAACAAAAGGGACCCCAGTCCTAGCTGGCATCTTTGGAAACCACCCCTCACCGAGGCTGGTATGAACCATCCCCTCTCCCCTCTCCAGCTCCTCCGGTCTCTGGAGGCTCTGCCGTCTTTCCGTCATCTTAGCACTTGCAGCACCCATTTCTGGCCTCCTTTCTCTGGCTTTCTCTCTCTCTCTCTCTCTCTCTCTTTCTCTCTCTCTTAGCCCCCCTCTTCTGCCTTTTTACGATGGGCTGGATTCAGCCTGGCTGCTTCTTTTTTTGTTTCCTTTACTGCATTGCCCATTCTCCATACTTCTCCGCAACAAAGGGGAGCCTGGAACTCGCCCAGCCAGTAAGAATCGCCCCCCTCTCTCTCCCTCTTGAGACCTCTCTCTTTTGTACCCTCTCTCCCAAATCTGCATCATAAAAAAGCCTGAAACCCAGCTGGCAAATACAGAACTCTCCCTGGGGGGGCTAGCGTGAGGTGACGCAGAGCCAGCGAGGTCAAAATTCCCTTTATTCCGTGGGGCGCTGGGGATATTCACATGTTAATAAATCATATTCCCATCACGAATCAGTGAAACCTTTTTACAAACTGCATTTTAACCTTACACAATTGCCCCACGGACAGTTCCACGAATATGGAAGCGGAGGGAGGATGTGTGTGGGATTGGGAGACTCACAGAGGCCCATAGCGAGGGTTGTAACGGGTTTGTCCACACAGCCTGCTGTTTCTTCAACCCCACACTCTTCCCTGCCCCAGGCTCCAGCCGAACCCCAAACCCCCCGAGTCTTACAGAATCACATTTACCACCAATAAGGGCTGACTGAGAAATGTAAGGGGGAAATTCTAAGACGTCTTGACTTGTTCCCTTAAGCAGATTATATCCTTGTCCTACATGCATCGAATCTACCGTTTGTGCCTGATATTGATTAGCGGAACTGTTCAGAAAAGTTAAGCCTAAGCTCATTGACTCGGAGGCGATTTGGTTTCCGCGTATTCCAGAGCTTCCAGGATGCTCAGCCGGGGATGAGGAACATAGGGCAAGGGCAGCTCTTTGCATGGGGGGGAGGGAATCAGGGTGTCCCAGGGACCCTGGGTCAGAACACGGGTCTAGGATCTGGGTGAGCTGGGCCCAGGAGGCAGTGGGCGCTCCTCGGAGCTGGACCTGCTCTTTAAGGTACATTACTGCCTGAATTTGAAAGGTGAAGTTCTGTTGCTCTGTCTTCTGTCTCCTGCAGGGTTTGTGGGTTGTGGGAAAAGGAGGGAATTTTTTTTTTTTAATTTTAAGGAAGTGTTATAAAACTTCAGAACGTTGTTCTGCAAACAACTGATGTGTGTTCGGGTCAGAACACCCGAATAAAGAGCAGTCAGTGACCTGGCTCCCTTCCAACCACCCCCCCACCCCGGTCCAAGGCCCCTGCCTCACCGTGTCCCAGAGTGCAGCGCTGAGACCTTAGGTTCTCCCAACCTCTGGGGATGTTTTCGAGGTGATGGGAGGGGGACTGAAAAAATGTTGCCTGCCACATCAGTAAACAAAGGGTGTTGTAGCCGTCAAGCCACTGCAGCCGCCTCTGGCGGTGAGCCCTGGGGGGACTCGGGTGGATACAAACGGGCTGCCCACTGCCATGCCCTTGGCCATTGCAGCGCCACCCAGCTGTGCCCTCCAAGGGCACTCGGGGAGAGAAAGCACAGCATGCTGGCCCCAGACAGCTAAGGCGCCTGTCGCAGGAACGGTTTCAACAAGCCCAGACCTCTGCCCCTTCCCATACCTAGAAAGAGGATCCTCTTTCCCTGCACTGCATCCTCAATGACCGCAGGATGGAGCAGAGGGATATTTCACTTGGAACAGAAGCAAGAACCTCAATTCCTGGAGCAGGAAGAGTGCCGTCCCGGCCTTTGCGGGTCTGCTGCTGTGACCACACACACATCCCAGGGGCCTGGCCTCAGCTGACGGGTGTCTGGGCTGTTTACAATCCTGGAAATTATGAATAATGCTTCTAGGAACACTGAGAACAAACATCTGCGTGAATATACGTTTCCAGTTCTCTTGTGCGAGTACCTCTGCGTGAAATTGCTGAGTCGTATGGCAACTCAGATGGCTCAGATGATAAAGAATCCACCTGCAGTGTGGGAGACCCCTAGGTTTGATCCCTGGTTCAGGAAAATACCTGGGAGGAGGCGTGGCAACCCATTTCATTATTCTTGCCTGGAGAACTCCATTCCTGGCGGAATACAGTCCATGGGGTCCGGAGGAGTCGGACATGAATGAAGCAACTTAGCACATACATAGAAAAGTACTAAAGCCCTTAGCCTTAGCCATCTGGCTTTCTTTATGTAACAGTCATCTTTTGATGTTCTGGTTACCTGGTCTTTGTTTCAAAACCCCCTATGGATCCTGGCTCCTCCTTTAAATCTTTGGATCAGTCCCTCAGTAACACCTGAGAGGCTGCCTCCAGGGCTTCAATCCTCGGTTTTGTCTGCCAAATCAAATGCAATTCTCAACTTTTAGGCTGTGCTTTTTCAATCAACAGCGGGGTACTGGGAGGAGATGGACACCGTGACATCTGGGCTTTGGTGCGTCTTTGAGCAGTGCCCATGGCGGCTTCTGTGATGGGCCTGGGGGCCTCACCTATCCTAAGAGCCGACCCCTCCTACAGCCTCTCCCATGTCGTGTCCAGACTGCAGGCTGCAGCCCGGGACGGTTCCCGGAGGCCAGGAGCTGCTGCGGTGGGTGCACTGGGTGCTGGGGGGGCTCTTCCCGTTTGGAGCATAGACAATGGCCTTCCAGATGCTCCGTTCAGCTCAGCTGAACCTCCGTCACAGGAGGCCTGATCAGACCCAGACTCTCACCAGGAAAAATGCCTTTTCTCATTGGATCCGAGTCCTAGATTTTGAAGAATAAACATTTGTAAACTCTGAGAGCATGTATACCAACTAATTACGACTTGGATGGGGCTCGGGGGTCCAAGTGCTATCTGAGAAGACCCATCCACGCTCAATTTTTCCTTTCCCTGCTCCTCTGGGCCTTGGGGTCTCCGTAGGCCTTTCTGGTGGAGGGTGGGGGTGGGGGCAGCCTTCAGGCATCCAGGACTTGGAATGAAGCCTCTCTGAGGAAGCTGTTGTCATTTCTCAGTGGCTCTAAAATCCTTCTGAATTCATTAGGGTTTGCATTGGAGCAGAAATATCACCTTCTCAGTCAGCCCTACCCAATGCTCTATTAAAAAATGCACCACTTCTGTACGTGGATTCCCTGCAGCATTTACTAACTTGCCACAGACTGATGGCTGCATCCACCGCCCCCCACTGCCCGCCACCACCACCGCCCCATCCTTATACTGGAGTCCTAATCTCCAATAACCTTAAAATGTGGCTGTCTTTGAAAACAGAGCTTGAAAGAGGTGACTTAGGTTAAATGAGGTCCTAGGGATGGGCCCTAATCTTTATGACTGATAAGAAGAGATCCCAACACACACACAGGAAGAAAGGCCGCTCAAGGACACAGAACAGGCAGCCTCCTAAGAGCCAAAGACAGGGGCCTCTGGAGAAACCTTGAATTCAGACTTGAAGCCTCCAGAATTATGAGAAAATAAATTTCTGTTGTTCAAGCTCCACTCTGGGGTATTTGTTAGGGCAGACTGCGCAAACCAATGCCACAGTACATATAATTTATTGATTTCTCACATTAATTTTTTATTTTCTGACCGCCACTGCTCTCCCCAAGGGTAGAGATGTTGGATCTTGTCTTCCGACGTGTCCCTAAAGTACAGAAGACTGCCTGACATTCAATCATCTTTGGCACTTAGTAAATATTTGGCATTCAACAAATATTTGATGAACTTTTACCTCGGGCCTAGACAGAAAAACAGGAACTAGATTTACCCTCCTGCCTGAAACAATTAAGAGCCTGGACAAGATAGACGCAATCACCAGTTTTCAGACACTGGACATCTAGCAGGGCAGGTAATCCCTGAGTGAGGGGAACGGGCACTGTGAGCCCTCTGGTACTCTGGCCCACTGCCTGGAGACAGTTTCCAAGCCCCCACACTGCGGGGGATGGCCAGGCAGGGCCCGGGGTCCCCCTGAGTTGAGGAGAGGGAACCGGGGGCTTGAGGGGGTGGAAGCACCTGGGGTCCACAGGCAGAGCAATGCAGAAGAAAGGGGTGCCCAGAAGGGATGTCCGGAGACCTGCAGATGGTCCCCCTGGAGTATTCACTGGGGGAGCGGCTAGCAATGTACGCAGCCAGCTACCCCAGGCGGGAAAAAAACTTTGGGAAAGAATCCGAGATAACAGCATCTGTGGTCCAGTAGGACCGGCCACAGGGCCTGCCCCCACACATGCCCCTAGACAGCCTCGTGGCTCCCGAGCCTTGGGTAGAAAGCTCAGAAGGATACTGACACAGGAGTGGGATAAAATTCTCCTTAAAAGAGGAATCTCTTTGATTTTCTGGCCCGACCTAACAGTTTAAAATGAAACCTGCAGAGGATCTGTTCCCAAGTAACTATGTAACTTTGAGAACAAAACTCAACATATTTATAGGGATAGAAATGTATTTAGCACCACCTAACAAGGTAAAATGTACAATGTCTAGGACCCAGTAAAAATATTACCTGGGAATAGCATATATATATCACTTGGCGGGGGGTGGGGGGGGTGGTACTATGCTAAGCAAAGTCAGACAGGTAAAGACAAATACTGTATGATAGCACTTATATGTGAGATCTAAAAAGCACAACAAACTAGTGAATATAACAAGAAAGAACCAGACTCACAGATACGGAGAGCAAATCAGTGGTCACCAATGGGGAAAGGAAGCGTAAGAGAAGGTTAAGGGACTAAGGAGGTACAAACTCTTAGACATAAAATAAGTTGCAAGGATATATTGCACAACCCAGGGAATATAGCCAACATTTTATAATAACTATAAATAGAGTAAAACCCCCTAAAATAACTGTAGTATACATCTGTAACTTACATAATATTGTATAATGACACTTCAATAAAAAACAATTCAAAATAAAATTTAAAATATACTTAGGCACGCATGAGCTATAATAGGGGGAAACTCCATCAGAGACGACAGAATCAGTAAACAGGATATAAAAACAGTTTTTATAACTCTATTCTCTATTTCTGAAAGCTGAAGGAAAGACTGAACATGTTAACTAGAGGCATGAAAGATAAAAAAGAGATCAAACATCAAGGGATGAGAATACAATGTCTGATATGAAAAACACACTGGATAAAATTAAAAGGTTAGATACTACAGAAGAAAAGATTAGTCAACTTGAAGATGTAGTAATAGAAACTACTCATAATGAGGTATAGAGAAGAAAAGAGATTGGAAAAAACAAACAGAGCTTCAGGGAGCTATAGGATAACTTCCAATGGCTCAATGTGTTTGAAAAAAAAAATAGTCCATTAAGCAGGGGAAGAAAAAAAACTGGAAAAAACAATAGCAGAAAATTTTACTAAGTTGATGAAAACCAAAAAACACAGAGATCAAAGACAGGTAATGAACCCCATGCACAAGAAACATGAAGAAAACAACAGTAAGTCACATCCTAATCTAACTGCTTAAAACCAGTGATAACGAGACAGTATTGAAAGCAGCCAGAGGAAAAGCAAGTAATAAACACAGACAAACAAAAGCAAAGGTGAAAGCAGCTTTCTCATCAGAAACCAATCCAGGGAGAAGATAAGAAGGAACATCTTAAGGTGTTGAAAGAAAAAAACTCATCTTTCTGCTCTATACACAGCAAAAGATATGTTTCAAAAATGAAGGCAAAATAAAGACTTATTTTGACACGCAAAAGCTGTAAGAATTTAGGAACAGCAGAACCACACTATGAAAAATATGAAAGGAGGTCCTGATGGCAAAAAGAAATGGATACAGGATGGACACCGGAATTTACACAGTGGAATGGAAAGCACTAGAAACGGTAACTGTGTAGATGTATATGTACCTGTAATACGTATAACTGTACACTGTGTGTATGTGCTGTGTGCCCAGTCGCTCAGTGGTGACTGACTCTTGGCAGTCCCACTGACTCTAGCCCACCAGGCTCCGCTGTCCATGGGAATTTCCAGGCAAGAATACTGGAGTGGGTTGCCATTTCCTTCTCCAGGGGATCTTCCCAACTCAGGGATCGAAACTGTGTCTCTTGATCGAAACAGTGTCTCTTGTGTCCCCTGCACTGGCTTATAAAAAACTCTTTAAAAAATAAAATGATTGACAGGGTTAAGATGTATGCTGCTTACTTGTTTGACCAACCTAAAACAGTGGCACCAGATGCAAATCAACCCTGAATACTCATTGGAAGGTCTGATGCTGAAGCTGAAGATCCGGTACGGCGGCTACCTGATGTGAAGAGCCAACTCACTGGAAAAGACCCTGATGTTGGGAAAGATTGAGGGCAGGAGGAGAAGGGAACAACAGAGGATGAGATGGTTGGATGGCACCACTGACTCAATGGACATGACTTTGAGCAAACTGGGAGATAGTGATGGACAGGGAAACCTGGCCTGCTGCAGTTCATGGGGTCACCGAGAGTCAGACATGGCTTAGTGACTGAGCAACAAGATGCAATTAGCTCTCCTCTGTGGGATCCATCTGTATGTGATGAAGCTGGAAGGAAGAGGCTGAGTCAGAAAAAGAGGCCTGATGAACCACGTGATAGGAAGAGCTCATGCTGCTGGACTGTGATGGGTAAAGCCTGACTCAGTACAGCCTTTCAGCGAAGAGGAGAAAACAGCGATATGGGAAGAGACGGTGAGCGTGGATGCAGGCCCGTGAGCCCATCCATAGCCAGGGCTGCCTGAGAGGAATGCTGGGGGAACGTGGACACCACTCATGGGGAGGAACCGGCTATGAAGACACACACAGCACCTGGGATGGATCTCAGATGAGTGTCCCTGATGAGAGAGCATCTCTGAGAGCCAGGCTGTGGGGGGCGAGCATTAAAGGGACCAGCCAAACCTTCCCGCACTGTTGGTGGGAACGTAAATCGGTGTGGCCACTGTGAAAACTGGTATGGAGGTTCCTTACAAAACCAAAAATAGAACTACCATGTGATCCAACAATCACATTTTTGAGCATATGTCCGGAAAAGACAAAAACTCTAATTTGAAAAGACACGTGTACCCCATGTGCATTGCAGCACTAGTCACATAATCAAGACATGGGTGCCATGGGATCGACCTAAGCATCCCCATCAGCAGCAGATGAATGGATGGAGCAGATGTGACATATAATACGTATTATTACATGTCATTCCATTTGCAACAACATGGACAAACCTAGAGACGATCATACGAAATGAATTAAGTCAGAGAAAGACAAGGATCACAAGCTATCACTTAATTTGTGCAATCTAAAAGGTAGTACAAATAAACTTATTCACAAAACAGAAAGAGACTCACAGGCATGGAAAGCAAACTTATGGTGACCGAAGGGGAAGGCGAGGGGAGGGATAAATTAAGAATTTGGGATCAACAGACACACACTGCCATATATAAACTAGATAAACAACAAAGACCTACTGGACGGCACAGGAAATTGTTTTCAATATCTTGTAATAATCTGTAATGGAAAGAATCTGAAAAGAATATTTATATGTATAAAACAGGATACATATATATATCTTGTTATATATATACTCGCTGTCACCCTGCTGGGGAGACAGCACCAGACTCTGGATGCAATGGCGTCATCCCTGTCTCCAGGTCG